GCTAGGGTCTGGTGGTGATTCAGGGTCAAGGCCCCTTGCGCATATACTTCTGTAGTCCAAATAGATGGATGAGCACTTTGTAGCGGCCGGCGGCCGGCACCAGGCTGCAATCCAGTGGGTCCTTTTGGTGTTCCAAAACGGAATGAACCACCTGCTGGCCGCTGGCCTGATGCGCCAGGGCTGTGATTACCATCTGTCTGAGCAGCAGAAGGCTATCCCTGTCCGTTGTCTCAAGCCGCCAGGCTCTGAGGAAACGCGTCCCCAGAGCACCTGGTTTCGGAAACCATCTGAGAGGACAGTTTGGGCCACCCCCAACAGACTGCCATTGGCCCAGGCAGTGACACAGAGTTGTGAAAATAAGACATCGTCAAGGAAGTCCTGGTCTCCCTGTCAAATAGGTGTTTGTCCGAAGGAGAATGACTACGGTGCCAGATGCTACCGGGCCACAATCCCCCGTAGCAATTCCTGCAAAAAATCCCTACCTCAGGCAGGCTGGACTCTGGCTGCAGCCAACTCATTGGTCTTCCGGAGGCCCTCCAAATCCGGATTGCTCAGTCCGAGTCTCGAGAGAATTTGTCTCAAGCTGCCAGGCTCTGAGGAAGCGCGTCCCCAGAGCACCTGGTTTCGGAAACCATCTGAGAGGACAGTTTGGGCCACCCCCAACAAACTGCCATTGGCCCCGGCAGTGACACAGAGTTGTGAAAATAAGGCATCGTCAAGGATGTCCTGGTCTCCCTCTTTGTACATTGGGCCGTATACGGGCAAGGACCTGGTCCAGTGCCCTGTGTCCTGACAGGTCCTGGGGGCCCATGTACAGGGGCAGCAAGAACAACCCCTGCAGCTCGGCAGTGGGTTCCCTAATCAATACCAGTCACTCCAGAAGCCTGGAATCCACGAGCGACCACCTGTGCGAGGAGGCCCCCCGTGCTGTCCTGTGAAAATCTTCTCGTGGTGATGGTCCGTCAGGTGGGGAGCGCCCCCCAGCTGAGGCCTTGTTTGTACTCACTTCCTCCCGTCTGCCAAGACTACCTCATCTCCAGGAGTCAACAGTCGGGGGGCACTGTTCGGGAGTGTGCTCTGTTGAAGGCTGCCAGGGATGCCCCCCGTTACAGGCATCAGATTTGGAGGCCGCCTGGCCGCAGACGGCTTGCCTCCTCCATCTCGTAATGGCCTAGCCTAGTATTAAAGCCCGATTCCGTCAGGCGACAGGGTGGCAAAAGTGCCAATCCACCCTGACATCTCACAGTTGGAAGTGTCAAATAAACATGGCGGCACGTCAACAAACATGCCAATCTGACCTGAAAGCTCACAGTTTCACGCACTGTCATATAGACATGGCGGCACACCAACAAACATGCCAATCAGACCTGACAGTGCGAAGTTCAGGTTGAAAAACATGCCATACGAACCCTGCAGAAAAACTGCAAACATGCCGATCCCCCCTAAGAGTCTACTGTTTGGACCATGTCAAATAAACATGGCGGCACACCAGCAAACATGCCAATCTGAACTGACAGTTCGAAGCTATGTTTGGAACTCATCACAATACAGGGGGGAGACCGCAAACAAGCCGGTCTAACCTGACAGGTCACAGGTTGAGCAAGGCATCTCCACATGGCGGCATGCCCACAAACATGCCAATATCTGACCTGACAGCTGAAGTTAAGTCTTAAAAACAAGCCGTAAGAACATGGCAGCAGTACTGCACGCATGCCAATCCAAATTCAGCCAGACTGCAAACATGCCGATCCAACCTGCCAGCGCACACAATTTGGAGCATGTCATCATATACTGTAAGCATGGCGGCACACCAGCAAACATGCCAATTGGAGCTGACAGTTCGAGTTGAGTACGGCATATAAACACGGCGGCATGCCCACAAACATGCCAATCTGACTTGCATCAGGGACTCCTCCCTCTCGATAGGTAGCTTGTCTTGAGGAACCCAAAATCCAATTGCTCCGGCCAGCGCCAGAGACTGCTGCCAGTGGGGGCGACCCAAGTCTCCCACTTCCACAAAGCCAGAATCCTTAGTGACCTTAGCATCTGCCAACACCCCAGCTGGTCCAGCCTCAGTGAGCCTTAGTTGCCAGTTCTGTCCTTCCACTGCGATGACCGAGAGCGGGGTGGAGCTCAGGTCAATGGGAGAAGAGCCCTTGCAAAGAAGACACTTGGGAAAAGTTCCCCATGGTGCATTACAATCAGAGCAAACCAGTTTTGGGGCTGCCCCCGGGTCCTCCTCTTGCAACTGTGTGATGGAACCACCTCGTTGGACTGTGTGGCACACCTTCAGCAGCTCGTTGTGCTTCGCAGCCCGTTTGGCGATGCAGTAGACCTCCAAGGTCTTCGCCATTCAACAAAGATTCCCAGCCGGTGTTTGTGCTCTGGTCCACCTGGGTTGTCAGCGTCTCCTTCTCAAGAGTCCGCATGGTCGCCATGGAGGCTTGTTCTGCCGATTGAACGAAACCTGGGGGGGCTTTGGCGCCAGAAGCTGCCACACTCACCTCAGGCTTTGGCTCCAGTCCCAGCTCTGCCATCACCTTCTCGTCTCTTTAAGCTGGTTGGCCAGGGTCTCCTTGGTGATGGCTGGGTCAGGGTCACATTCAAACTCCATCTCAACTTCGGCCGGTGCAGCCTCAGTTGTTGGAAGGTTAAGTAGCATGTAGTCCTCCCCTTCAGCCACGTCCGTTCCCACCAAAGAAAAGAAGCAACAGTGCCCGTCTCACTCGCCATTGGGCTCGAAGACGCCATAGTCGAATGGAAAACGGATTTTTTCGAGTGCTTAGATCACAAGGGGAGGACTTGAGCCAAAATGGCATAGCCATTTTGGCAACTATATCGTCAACACATTACTTGCTCTCCACAAGTTCCAAGCAAAGAAACAAATATAATTACAAGCACTTATATATTTATACGGATCTGTCCGTCTATCTGTCTATCTGCAATACTTGGCACTATGCTCCTATTATACGCCCACTTCACCCATGTTTGTGCATGTCTGTCTGTGTGCCTTTGATGTTGTAATTGGAAATAAGTAACGAAGCACTAGGACAAGTAAGGAAGTTGGAGAGGGACACTACTCTGCAAACCACCCTGACTGAACAATATATGGTGCCAATCTGGCATTGGGAGGTCAATTTCGAGTACAACCTATGGGATCCTCAAGTCCTCAAATTTCAACATAGTTCAGCTGCGTTGCGTCAGCGTGAGGCCTCCCATCATGCCTTAACATCTACTACTGCTTGGCCGTGATGGCGCAAACCAATTTAGACAAACACTTTGACACGCTGCAATGTTTTGAAAAATGAACGTCCGTTCTGACTCACAAACATCAAGAGGGCTCATCCATCCATCGTACATTTAATAGGTTTTCCACTGGAAACATTATTTATATTATTTCAAAAACTTGAAAGCGCCAAGGTGCGGTATGCAACCTGCCAACTAAACAAACCATATAGAAATGCAGAGGCCGAACCGCCAAAACCTTCCGGCAGAGTTTTCAAGTCGGTGAAACGATGGTCAATGAAGCACAATGCCATGCCGTTTTAAATTGTTGGTCCTGGCAAATTTAAAGGCAGAGTCAGACTTTCGCTTGAACATGTGAGGCCTTCCAATTTCCGCAATACCTTCGGATTAGTTGCAGGCCATGCCATGACCATGTCACGCCTGCACACATTGCCAGAATGGAGAAGGCAAAACCTCTGCTTGTCTCCTCAAAGGTGCTCTCTATTGCTATGGACACACAACTGCCACTACTTCAGGACAAGGTGCCTCGTCCTCAAGGTGAAACATGGTGAAGCAGCTCCAGTTAGTTGCGTTTAATATGATGCCATTTAGATTATTGTGGGTATGTAGTTCCCTACTGTAAGTACTTCGGTGTGTTGGTATGTCTATAGGTATGCATGAATGAAATTGCATGAATGTATATACGCGCGTCACACACGACACGCAAGTCACGCACATCATGCACGTCACGCACGCCACGCACGTCACGCGGGTCACACACGCATGTCACATGTATACAATGCTACATGAATGTGTGTGTATATTGTATGCATTTTCCACCCACCAAAACATATGCGTGTAATGTGTGTAACATATGATGTGCATGTGTGTTCTGCACGTGCGTTGGCAGTTTACATACCGCATTCCCAGCACAGGCTCCTGCACACTTTCACTCACTAAGCTTTGGGAGACTGGAGCCACAGCTGATGCAAAGAGCCCAGAAAGGACCTGTGTCAGCATCAAGCCTGGCAGCATTGGCTGACGACAAAATGGAAGTCCGTGTTTCTTATGTTGCCTTCCCAACGGCATTCAAAAACCCAATACAAAAATATTACACTGGCAAGAGGCCCCGAACAGTGTGGGGGGTAGGAAGGCAATGAACTAGACGCAGGAAAAAGTAGCTATGGAACAGTAGCAATGTGCTAGATTCAGGCCAGACATTATTGTGATTGCAGTGGAAGGAACTTGTTTTGGCACAAGAAGCAACGCCATGTCTACTCGTAGGACCTCATACCAGAACCTCGTATCAGGACATGTAATGCAGGCGTGGGAGTTCTAGGAGTGTCAGCCCCATCTGTGGGATTGGGGGCTTGCAGTATGGCATGCGGTGCGCAGAGTGGCGTCACCCCATCTTGCAACACTTCTTTCTGCTTGAAATTGGCGTGTGCGGAGTGTTTCCCAACGGGGTGTTTCGGATCTGCCCTTCTTGCTAGTAGCTTCTGCACACTTTCTTTTGTTCTGTGGTGTGCGGAGTTGCTGGTTGGCGTCAGTACCACCTATGTATTCAATTTTTTTGGCGGATGTTGGCGGTTTCACGCATCGACGGTCTAGGGATGCTTTTATTTTCCTTTGGCGGGAGCACTGCTTTGTAGTGATTTTTGCGGAGCACTAAAACAACACCAGGGTGGTCCACCTTTGCCTTCGCAAAACCATCTTCGTATTTTGGCGCAAAAGTGCCTCTATACCAGACATTTCTGATCTCGTAATGTTTATCATTAGGGTCTTTTTTGATCTTTTTTGCCTTCTTCCAGCGACCAAATCACAATGGGAATCCCGGTGCGGTTGGCTGCAGTTTGAATAACAAAATTGTTGGCCCAGTACTTCCTCTGAGCAGCCTGGGACAAGAGATCCTCGAATTCCTTTGGTGCAGCAAGGCCTGCACGTTCGTAGAATTTTTCAATTCTGTCCTGCGGGTAGAACGGCTCAAAGTCTGCGCCGTGAGCTTTCATGTGTTTCACTGCTTGGGGCCTGAGGTCGCTGGCAAGGGACAAAATATTTTCCTCATTGTCTTCTTTGCCTCTGGCACAACCATCTGCTATAACAAAGGATCGGAGAAAGCAATCCCATCTCCTCTTGCATCTTTCTCTGACCAACCTTGCTTCTTGGATTGTGTGATGTTCTCTGGCCACTTACTAGGCAAGAAGTCGGTTGCTGCTGCTTTTCATCGTCCTTTGTAGCAGATTGCGTTTTCTCGCCCTGGCTTGGCTGTGAATCGAAAATGGTGGCTGGAACCTCGGACTCTTTGCCGTCATTCGCTTGTGCGTTGTTTGCTGGCTCAAACTTTTGCTTTTTGGCAGTTTGCTGTTGCTGCTCCTCCAATGTTTTTCTTCCTTTGGAATGGCACTGCTGTCGCCCCACTTTTTCCCGAGGGCTCGACAAATATTTCATGGAAGCTGCTTGCGCCCTTCAAAGAAGGCGGTGGAAATCAAGATGGTGTGAAGGCCATCTTCGTAAATTTCCATTTGATCTGCTTTGTTCGGCGAAATGCCTGTGAAGAACGGAGCTGCTTCTTGCTGGCTGGCTTTGCTGCGGTGGTTGATCTTCAGATCTGTCCACTGCTGAGTTGTGAGGAAGTTGGTGAAATCTCTCTCGTCCCACATAACTGGTGCACCAGCTAGCTTCATGGCACCTTTACAGGGCATCACTTGTGGTAGTTTGGTCAATGCCCAAATCACTTGCGATAGCGGATTGGGGTGGTGCCGGCTTGCTGCTGGGTCCTTCTGTAATATGTCTCGTCGGACTCACCTCTTTCCTTAAGCATCCAAGAGACTTGCTTTCTCCAGTTTGAATGAAGAAAATTGCGGTGCGACCGCTTTGTGCAAGGAGTGTTTGCGCCACGCCCTTCTTTCCCCATTGTCGCGCCCAACTGCCGCCAGTGACGGAACTGACAGTTAGGCCATTGATCTGCCATTGTTGGATATCTGCGATGACTTTACTTGGTGAGTGTCTGGACTGCGAATGGATCGGTGGCACTCTGGCGCTGTGATCCGGATTGGTGTTTTTGCTGCAGCTTCGGAAGCTATTGTTGCCTTCGTCGGTGGTTTTGGCTGAGATCCACCATCGCAAGATTGCAGGGCGAGTTGCGACAACGAACCCATACCGTTGTTTGCTTGTCTTTGTCGAGGATGTACGGGCCACGCCAGAAAAGAGTCAAAGGACTCGTGGGGTCAAAGGCCTGGATAGCATCTTGTCGGTCTTCATATTGCTGCCAGGTAACTTCCGTGATGTCCTGGGTGGCCTCTTCTGCTGTCATCATAGTTGGGGCCTTGTCCCATTCCGGGGTGATGAAACTGTGTGTGGGTGTTGTGGTGTAGTTGTTGTGTTTGTGTCCCCCACCATGCCCAATAGTAACCCACCTCTGGTCGTTGTATGGCTGGGGACTGCTGTTGGTCATTGGCAGTGCGCTGCCATTGCTTCTAGAAGGTCTGTTGTGCTGGTCCTTTGTTTGGTTGGGACCATATTACTTGCTGCTTACTTGCTTGCATGCGTTGTTATTGCTGCTGCTTTGTCGTGACAGTGCCAACTTTACTGGGGTCCTCAGTGTCAGGGTGGACCAGCTTGCGCAGCGATTTTTGGAAAATGTTTTTTGGGTCCAACGCCTGCACTGCCAAACTGGCTTCTACAATGGTACATTGCGAGCATGGGAGATTGTGCCGCCTACTGTTCGTACCTCTTCCGCAATTGGCAGAGGCCCGTGGGCACGACCTGGACGTCGTAGGCAGTCGAAATGCACATGAACATCTCAGAAGAGGCCGTTGATGCGAGAATTTACAATGAAAATGCCCCACACCAAGACCTTGACAACCCCGCGGCGCAGACTTTGTGCGAGCCTGCGCAGTCGAAATGTGGACATCGCACAAGGATGCACAAGGGCACTTTTATGCGAATTTACCGCAAAAATGCCGCGCCCCAAAGAGCATACCCTGATCATCCCCCTTATAATATTAAGTTGAACCCGGGGGGCGCCATTTTATAAGAAATTCCTTATGAAATGGGAGTTCCACGGGAAAAATTCCTTATAGAATGCATATAATTCAGGAGAAGCAATATAGGGAACTCCAATTAGCATTTTATAAGAAAAAACGCATTATAATATGACAGACCAGAGTCCAAAAAAACGGCTTATAGATCGTGGCCCAGACAATTTACTTTTTTGGTGATTACCCGATATACATTTTATAAGGTGGGAGTGGAAATTCCACAAATTATCAGAGATTTATACTGAAAGTGACAAACTGTCATTCTATAAGGCACCTCCAGGGCATCTTATAAGAACAAAAACTGTGCAAACCTGATTTCTCCGGGATTCTCCGGGTATGTTTTTCTCAGTTTGTGCTGGTAAAACCTGTAATTATCAAAAGAAATTGTTTATATTGCAAAGATTTGCAAAGTAAGTGTACCTTATATAATGGATATTCAATAAAAACAAACATGAATCTTGCACGCATGCAATAAGCTTTTGAAACATTATAAAATGGCAAATAGTGATTCAGGTCACTGCTACAACAATAGGCATAATATAAGAAACCAAAACAACTTACTACCTGCAGGCGGCCTGCCTGTTATACAATGATAATCGTACTTTGTGGTAAGGATGATATGACATTATTGCCATTTTATAGTTGCATAATACTACATATAACTACTATATACATCTATATGCATCGTTGTGCATCTAGATACATGTATATTATACATGTTTAACACCTTTATACATCTAATAGACATCTAATATATATAAAAGAAAGTACGAGAACATAGAATACAGAATTTTGAAAAACAGGTTTTGGGGCATCTTCCAGAATTGGAAAAAAAAAACGGTGTACATAGAATATCCCAGGAGTGTACATAGAATAATTTTAATTCTGGAAGATGTTTTTTTTGTTTTTTTTATCAAATTTTCACCCGTACTGTAGCATAAATGGACATAAGTGGACATTGTTCAAATTGTCATCTCACTAAAATCCTTTGGATTATCAAAATATCACTCATACTGCAGCATAAATGGACATAAATGAACAGTTTTCAAATTTTCACCACGCCAAAATCCTTTGAATTATCAAAATATCATCCGTGCTGCGGCCTAAATGGACATAAATGATCATTTTTTAACTTTCACCCACTAAAATTGTTTGAATTATCAACATATAACCCGTGCTGCAGCATAAATGGTCATAAATGGATATTTTTCAAATTTTTCACCCCACTAAAATCCACCAGAACACAATAGAATCCCTCACAAAATTGTTCAAGCTCACCGAAGGGTGCCCCCCACGACCGGTGTCGAAGGACTATTAGAAAGAAACTATTTTGCAATGGAAAATAATGAAAACCAATGGAATTAGGCGGTGTTCCTGAAAAAATGGATGAATATTTTCACTGGGGACCTATATTCTATGATATTCTATGTATGTAGTGGCTGCATTTGGCTACGTCATTGGCGCTGAGTGCCTTCCCAAACTTTGAGGAGGCCCAGCAAGGCTACCTCCATAGCTATACATCTAAATTGGGCAGTTGAAAATAATCATCTTTTGTGTATAAAAACATTTTTTTTCCGTGAAAAAAAACAATTTGCTGTGAACACATTCTGATTTTCAGTGATGTTTAAGGACATGAGGTGTAAGTTTTTATCAAACTTACAGTTTTGACGTGTGAGTTTACATCAAACCTACACTAAATTTACATATCAGGAGTGTAACTTTGATGTAAACTTACATGCACAAGTGTAAATTTGATGAACACTTACATGTTTGAGGTGTCAGCTTACACCAAACTTACATTTACAAGTATAAGTTTACACTTTTGCGTGTAAGTTTGATATAAATTTACAGTGTTGACATGTAAGTTTGATGTAAATTTATACTTATACTTATGATTTATGATGTGTAAGTTTAGTGTTAGTGTAAATTTGATGTAAATTTACACATCAAAAAGTGCAACTTTGATGCAAATTTACATCAAATTTACACCTCATGTCCTTAAGGGTTCCCGTCCCTGCCGCCAACCCCAGAACAAAAAAAACACAAACATTGAATCATTGATGTATCGTATTTGCTGACCCAACCAACTTTCATGGGAACACTCCTAACAGTTTTTTATACCATTTTTTATGCGAACACTCCCAACATTTCTGTATAGAATTTTGCTTTTATGCATCCCCCCGTTCTCATAGACACCCTAAGACATGTAAGACACTCACTTCTTTGCAGAACTTCATACATAGAATAGAAGTCCCAAGGGAAGATTCATCCGAGGAACACCACCTAATTGCATTGGTTTTCATTGCCAAATAGAATTTATCATTTTTCTACGGGACCAGTCATGGGGGTACGTACCCTTAGGTGAGTTTGAAAAACTATTTTTTTCAATACAAAATCAAAATAAATTGATCATTTCGGGGGACCCGTTTTTTTTCTTTATTTTCCAGTTCAGGAGCTTCAGACATCCAGGGTTGCCTCCCTCCAAAGGGAATGATGTATGTAATATATACCCTTATACATGTAAGAGACTCAATTCCTTGCAGAACTACATACATAGAATTTAAGGGGCGATGATTTTTTTATTTTGTTTTCAGTCTGGGGCAGTTTTCCTTGCTATTTGCTACATTTTGGGGCTAAAATCTGTGATTTGCGTGCTATTTGCTGCATTTTGGAACCAAAATCTCTCTGATTTGCGTGCTATTTGCTGCGTTTTTGAACTAACATCTCTCATTCTGCATGCTATTTGCAGCATTTCGGAACTGAAGTCGCAAACTTGGGTAAATAAATCGTAAATTTGCCCGATAATTGCAACATTTTAGTTTCGCCCATTTTCCCATGGGTTTTCAACGATGTCTGGATGGTTTTCATCGTTTTTTTGATCGTCTTCAATGGTCTTTCCGTGGTTTCAAAGATTCTTTAGGGTTTCTTGTAGGGTTCTTGAGGGTTTAGGGTTTCATTATGAAAGTTTTATTTAGGGTTTCTTTAGCG